TTGTATAATGCAGTTAAAATTCAATAAAGATATTTTGATATTAATTATAAATGTATTTTTATATAAATGGCTAAATTAATGGCATCTACAAAGAATGTTACCAAATTTATAGATTGCATTGTACATAATTTAAATATTAGAAAAAAGATATGTTTTCAAATAACTGGGGGAAAAAAAGTTATTTTATTTTGATTTATTTATTTATTTCGACTACAAATCATTTTATAATAGTAAACTCAATAATAATATTATTAATAATATTAAATTATTATAATATAATAATAATATTTTAATATTATTTAATAATACATTTATTTCTATAAATGACTAAACTAATAACTTATATATTTACATCTGTAAATCTATAGAATTTCACTAAATGTATAGATTCCATTGTATAATATTGCAAAATGTAATACATTTTTAAAGATTTTTTTAATATTATTTGATTATATAAATAACTAAATTAATAACCAAATGTATAAATTACACTGTATGCAATTGAAATAGTGTATATACAAATAATAAAATAAGCTAGAATTTCTTAAATAATTGAAAAAATGGCAGCCATGTATAATTTGTCTATAAATCTATAGAATTCCACTTTCACTAATTTTGTAGATTCCCACTGTATAAAATAGTCCAAATTTAATAAAGGTATTTTAATATTATTTAATTATAATTGTATATGACTAAATTTTTTATATATGTATGAAAAATCTTTCCAAATTTATAGATTACATTGTATAAAATGTAAATATTACATTGAAATAACTAATATAGGCTACTAAATAAATTAATAACTCTTTTTCAATTATTTGCTGTGTAAATAATGCACTGTAAATTAAATATGTATACAATAACTGGTTTAAATTCAACAAATGTGTTAATCTTATTTACTATACAAGTTATTATATACAGTAAATCAGCATTATATAAGCTATCCATCTTTGTCGATATTGATACCGGCCATTAAAAGAGAGAGGGAGACGGAGAAAGACGAGGCGCAGAATATAAAGGCATGCCTAAACCCTGCATAAATTCACATCCCTAGGCTGAACAATAAAATATATCCATGTGAGAAATGACAGGCTTGAGGATGATGAAACCTAAATCCATGGTTTTATGCTGTTTTGTGGTGGGTGAATAAATCACTTGTCAAGCACGGACTGGGCCAAAATGGCTTCATTTGAAAAATTGAGAAAGAAAGGGGAAAAAAGCACAACCACATTAGTGTTTGCACACACACTTTAAATTCTTCATGAGAGTCCCAGTTTTCCTTAAAGTCAACACGAAATCAAAATTGACCCTATTTGCTTTATTCCTATATATTCACTCTGAAATTGCATTAAATATCTTTTCCCATTAGAAAAAAACATCTGGGTTTTTAATGCATTATTAAATAAACTTCAATGCATCTTATCTGGATCACAAAACATTCATATGTAAATCTAATTTCATTAATAAAATTACTTTTTACATCACTAATTCATCAAGACTATAAACTGGCTTGATCCCTTGCGAAGGCAGATTCTTTGAAACGGTTGAACATTTGTCAGATGTCAGGACAACTCTTGTCATGTCAGGACGTCTCTGAAGTCTTAAAGAGCGAGCGGGTCGCCTCCGACGTGACGTCTCCGTTCCCTCCTTCAGGGAACGAGGGTTACATACGTAACCGAGACGTTTCCATCAATGCCAACAAAACCCCTGACGGGAAGCACCGGACAGCGTTTTTCCCTGCGGAGCGACGGCTCTTAACCCCGAGCTCCTGAGACAGTGGGAACTGTGCACTTTAGCAGCAGGGATGGATGCATTTACACTTCAAATGTTTTCAAAAATGAATCTGAAAATTATTCTCAGTTTACGATATTCTTGGAATTTGGACTCCAAATCTTAAAACTAAGAATCAAAACTCAGACTTTTTAGCAGGACACACACACTCAAAACTGACATTGTTTATAGCACTTTTAACAATACACATTTTTTCAGAGCAGTTTGATGGTAAATCATTATGTTTACCAGATTAGAGCTGTGATAATTCAAGCAATCAAACAGCCGTATATGCTGAGATATGCTGTAGCTGTTATTTTAGTATCACTGAGAAAATATCATCGTTTTTTATATATTCTGTTTTAGTAATTTTGTGGTGCATTCTTGTCATTTTTAGTGTGTTACTTGCTTCATTACTTCACACACATTTAATTGCGTCATAATTCCATACAATTTTTCACATGCTTTCATTTAAACAACTTGCCAGTTCCGCATGTGAAACATCTTTTCTTTTCTGCTGACATCATCAAGCCCTCGGATTTTCAACCCTTCCCTTCACCTTTCACCATCCAATCATACGCCATTACATGAAATTAAGCCCCACCCCCTTTTTCTCATTGAATATTCTATTTTTACTTGTAAACATGTCACATTATGTAAGTAAAATGGCTTGCAAACTCATTTCATGTTGTCAGTAAACATCTATATTAGCAAAAACAAAGAAATCTTAAAAGTAGAAGGTGAGAGGAAACACAAAAGACAAGCGCGGCCTCAATCCCCTCGTGTCGCAGCCGTTCTGTAACACGCACACAGCTGTATTTCTCTGGCCGTTCAGACTCAGCTAATCAGCTCTGGACAGTTACATCTATCACGCAGCTGGCCGGGCCTTGATTCATTACCAGCCGCCAGCTGCCATTTCGGAGCAGATCTGGGCTCGGCTCATCCGGTCTGGCAGGTGGGAAGCTTCTGTGGCATTTGTCTTTCCTAAACAGTAAAGTTGCCCGAGCTTGTTAAGGAGAACAGAGTCCACTTGCAGCGGGATCAATGGCTGTAGTCAATCTGCAGACATCAATGAAGGCAAGAAAGTATGGATGTTCTGCTGCCTCGGCCTAATCGTATATCCACTAGCCAATGCGCATTGACAGCTTTTCAGTCGGACAGGGTCACTTTGAGAAAGCGTAACCTGACTGAAATGACAGTTCCCAGCTAATGAGTGTCCAAAACACCATGGGAAACCAACTAGAACTTCATAACAGAGCAGCAAACCCCCCTTTTTCTTTTTCACACCAAAAGTATGTTGAGCTCTCGAAGCTGTACTTCTCTTCAAATAAAAAGTGTTATCACACCATTCTTCATTCTAGAGCCTCGCTTGAAGTCTTCATCTTTATATGAGTTCTCGAGGCTTTTCCATTTCGAAGCACTTCTACGCTCTTGTGTTTCCAAACATAATAACGCCAGTATTGGTTTTGCAATTTATTTCAAGCGTGACACTCCTGACCTCCCTCTAAAGATGTCTTCTGCAAGGCTTAAAGTAACAGAGCAGACGTGCATTTCTGTCCTGAATTCCTGTGGGAACGGCAGCTCCGAAACCGCTGCTCTGCTCTGGACCTCTGAGTTTTGGGGTTTTCGTATGTCTTCAGCAGCATGCTCATTAGCGCTAGCCTAGACGCATACAGCTGAGGTAGTTACAGAGGATGGCTAGTTTAGATGTGAGTGAGGACATGCTATGGACGAACACGTTGGACAGAGAAAAGAGCAGAAGGATCTCAATGTCTTCAGCTCATCCTTTACTCCAGTCACAGTATTTTGTGAAAAAGAATAGTAAAGCTCATTCTGCGAATATGAAGTGTAGAAAAGTTAATCAAAGTTGTCCTAAGACAAGAACACATTTTGGTTTTAGGTTTTAGGACAACTTTGATGAAAGGTTTTGATCCACTTCAAATGTTGACTACTGTACATTATATTCAGTATCATATAATCAATAGTTTCATTAAACCTCTATGAACTTTCATTTCACATTGATTCATTAGTTTAGGCAAAGATTATGGATTTTGATTAGCTAATAATCCTTTTCCCACTCTCTTTTTGGGAAAAAAGACAAAAATGCAAGCTTCAGCAAATAATGTAGCATTTTCCTGCTTTTGCACCAAATTCTGCAATTGCAAACCTGTGAAATGATCAAGTGGTTAGTGAATAAGATGCACATGTTGCGCTGAAATACCACCTGCTTAAAGTAGTGCAATGGCTAACGTCAAGATTTTACTTCACCCTGTCTACTTTCTGTAAGACTTGCTAAAGTCTCTCATTGCTGCGTGGACAACAAACACTTGGTCCCGCCGGTCGGTCTACATCGCCTTTGCCCTTTGTGAGCAATGTCAACATCCACTGAATGGACAAAAAACAGCTGAACACTCAACTGAGAGCACTTCGGCTCCCAAACTCCTACAAAATCAAGACCATCCATGACATTTCGGTCGATATGTGAAAAAGCAGAGTCACCAGGGTACCCGGTACGTTCAGAAGCACTACAGTACGTAACAGACACAATCCCCATTTATCCTTAGTTTAACAACTGAGAATTAATTAAATGGATTCAACTTCTGTACATCTTGAGCAGATAAGAAAGTGCAAGATAAGAATAATAATATGCTTCCCCTGCTTATTCCAGAGTGGAATACAGATTTTAAAACACTAGGCTTTTAAACACTCGTCCACTTTGTAAATGGATACAGAGCAAAAAAAAAAACATGCACAGGCACTGAACGAATAAGGATCATTTACACAATACGAGACTTTCAAGTTGTTCCAAATACAACAAACTCACAGAGAAACATGGACATTGTGGATTATTGTGATGTTTTTATCAGCTGTTTGGACTCTCATTCTGACGGCACCCATTCACTGCAGAGCATCCATTGCTGAGCAAGTGACAGAATGCTACATTTCTCCAAATTGGATGAAGAAACTCATCTACATCTTGGATGGCCTGAGGGTGAGTAAATTTTTTGCACATTTAAATTTTTTGGTGAACTATTCCTTTAAGGCCAAGCATACACTACAAGACCTGTGCAAAATAAAGCACTCAGTTTCTTGTCTTCTGTCAAGGCTAATAATCTGTTGGTTAGTATCTGGGACTAAAAACATAAAGAGGAAAGAAGCTTGTTTCTTGAAACGTGCATTTGGTTCAATTTCATCAATGAATCTAGCCAATCTTGGAAAAGCCATCTTACCCATCTCCCTGGAGATCTGCACGAACGCTTCCACACCGCTTTCCCCGTAGTTCCCTTCAGAAGCCAGTGTGGAGACGTAGTTCCAGCCCATCGCCGTGACAATATCCAGCATGGCCTGGGCCTGGTAGGAATCCGGCGGAACGACGCGGGAAAAAAAGTCGTAGCGGGTGTTATCGCTTAGCTCCGGAGCTGTGGATGCATAGCTGATCTGAGGAATCTGCAGAGAAGAGAATAAAGATAGAGAAAGTTTAGAAAAAAGGTTCTCTTGTATCACAGTGGAAGAAAGAGGGATGCGTTTCCAGATCCAGTGACCTGCTTGCTTAGACAGCAATTGTATTCTGCCTTCTAAGATACCTAATTTTGGCCAAATTACATGCCATTACATCACACATTTCTCCTTTATACAAAAGCCAATCATAGAATGCATTGCAACAAGCTCAGCGAAATGGTGGATTAGTCAACAGATACAAATTATAAAACACTTATTTCATTTGATCTTGAAAGGTTTTGATGATGATAGTTGCAGTTCACCCAATATACGCTACTTCAACACAATAGCTTGGCAATTCATAACTATTTTACGTTTTGGTGAATTGGTGTTCACAATTCATATGATCTCATGTTTCTTATGACGGTTATGTTTAGGGGTGGGGTTATAGATGTGCCTTCATGCTTATGTGACGTGACATGTGGGGACGTGACACCTTGGAATTAGTGCTCTGCATTTAACCCATCCAAAGTGCACACACACAGCAGTGAACACACACACACCTTGAACACACACCCGGAGCAGTGGGCAGCCATTTATGCTGCGGCGCCCGGGGAGCAGTTGGGGGTTCGGTGCCTTGCTCAAGGGCACCTCAGTCGTGGTATTGAAGGTGGAAGAGAGCGCTGTACATTCATTCCCCCACCTACAATCCCTAGGTGGTACGAGACTCGAACCCGCAACCTTTGGGTTACAAGTCCGACTCTCTAACCATTAGGCCACGACTTCCCCTTATGTTTTTTTCCTAAAAATCTTATGTTTTCATAAGAGTCACATCGTTCAGATTCATACGAAATCACCACTAGTTACGTTTTCTCGTGAGTTGGGAATGTTGTTTGTGCATAATAAGTATTGCATTAGCTTAGCAACATGTGCCAACCAGGGTTATTATCATTAACTAAAACAATAAAATATGACTAAATCCAGAAAAAATTAATTACTTGAAATAATAAAAGTGAAATTAAATAAAATATTAAACTTAAACTTATTTTATTTCAGCTAGTTGCCAATGCAACACTTTTTGTTTTTGTTTAGTTAAAGTACTAAAATAACTGGGGGGAAAAATGTAATAATACTATATAGACTATATATTTTACAAAGCCCAACACATGACATGGACACAAATATATGTATTGTGGCCACGAATTTAGAAGCTGTTTCCCTCATTTCATAGTTTTAGTTAAATCAATTATTAATTTGTTCCTTTTCATAGTAAATTGTGGTTTTGCGAATTCATTCCCTCATTTTGATTTAATTCAAATGAGGGGGGAAATTAATACAATGAGGCCACAATTTTCTTAAATGAGGAAACGAATTGTTAATTCATGACCACAGTTTCTATACACTAAAAAAATTAAAGTCAAAAGAAAAAAAAGAAAAAAGAAAAGGTAAACAGTCAGTTCTGATGCTGAGAATCATGGGTAATGGAGTCTGTGGGAAATCTGACTGACAGATTCATTGTCTAGAGAAAGAGGACAGGAGGAGGTTAAAGAAGCTCACGGCTGAATTATTCTGAAGGATTCTGTTACAAAACTGTTTTGAAATGCACCTCACGTCAAGCTACACAAACGGTGTTAAATCCAAACATCCCCGACGGCGCGGCGGTACACAATCACCTAGACTGCGCTTTCACCTCTCGAAGCTGTAAATAAGAAAACATTTAGCCACAAAGCACTTGAGCAACATCCCCGCATGCGTGCAGATAGCTGCGTCGAGTAGATTCATGAGTAATGACGCTGAACAAAACTCTGACATTGAAAAATACATCAAATTTACTCCGTCTCCTGCAGTGAGGAGTGAAAATTGAAATCTGACACTGTAAGACTGATAATCAAGAGCTTTTGATAAACGTGACAACTTCGAAAACATGCAAAAAACACAGCTTCAATGCTCTCAGCGTCTTACGCAAAAACTACGTTGCTAATAAGATGCCAAGTGAATTTTTGCAAAGTTCACTCAACGGAAAAGATTAACCATAATGCATTGCAAACTTTCATTAAGTATACCAGTAGCTACTTATGAATATTTCATGAAAAAAGGCTACACAAATAAGACAACACCCAAGAGGCCAAGATACATAAATATGGGAAAGACAACTCCTCTTTTATTGCATAACACTTTAAAATAAGCAAATATTGCTTTCTGGTGTGAATATGAAGTTATGATCTCATATCAAGGCATCTTGGTTTATTGCACAAAGAACACAATGGATTTTGAGAGCTTTATTTGAAGAAGAATGCATTTTAATACAAATACCAAACACTGGTCAAGTTAAATAACAAAAGAAACTGCAACCAAATGTGCCTCAGAAACACAACACGGCACGGCACGGCACGGCACGGCACGGCACGGCACGGCACGGCTAGATTAAAATAAACTAAAATAGGCTAAAATAATAATAAAAATATAATATAAAAAAAATATATATATATATAAAATAAAATAAAACAAAAATAATTATATTTTTTTAAAGATATTTTAAAATAAAATACTTTTTAAAAAGTCTGTTTTTCCTGCAAGACTCATAACATACCAGTCATAACATAACCAGTAAGTTAGATTACAAAATAAAATGCAGACAAATGCCTCAGCTACTAAATAAAATACCTTTTTAAAAGTCTGTTTTTTTCTGCGAGAGTCACACCACTAGACCACTAATTAGGAAGCGACACTTGCATGTCTGATTATGTCAGAGGAGATGCCACCATAAACCATGGGTCAATTTGATCACTACCGTCAAAATAAGGCAATAAATCCAATCATATCAGAGGGCAAAGGATTTGAATTCATCCTCTGAGAACACAAAAGCATAAAAGTGTTTGCTCAATCCTCAGTAATCCCCTTTTTCAACATTTCCTCAAGCTATCGCTGTATAATTCAACAAACACTTAAAATATAAAAGAAAAAAAAAGTTTACCTGTAAACTCAAGTCTCCAATGCATTTAATGAACACTGCTTTAAAGCTTGCTGAATGAGGACTTCACTATTGAGCAGATATTGAGCAGTTGTAGTTTATGATACCAGCCGATAAAAACACTACTCTAAAGAGCTCAGCATGAGATGTTCTGGCCAAGAGCTTTAAAAGAACCTCAACACAACAGAGATCTCCGAATGATGTATGAAAACTCAGCTGCACGCCGTCGCACAAATGCATTTGCATTAAGAGAACAGGCTGGAAGATAAGAATGAAAAAATGTGATGTTTGGGATAGATCTGTGGTATTACAAAACAGGACGTGATGAAGAGATCCTTGAGCATTTAAAACCTAATAATCCTCAGAGAATGGCCAACCCGAGACCTCCTTAATGGATAAAAGAACAGCATAAGCTGCTGACAGCATTTGTGACCATGTCAATTACCGGATTACAATGACGACTCGTCCCTCAGTAAATAAATAAATCAAAAACCGTGGTAGGGCAATTGACATGCCCTAGACTTTTAGCATTTTTATTCATTTAGTCAGTGTTATTTTAGTATTATTGAGATACTATTATAAATTGTATCGCTATTTTGAATGCATTTTTATTTTTATAACTTCCATTTTAATTTTAGTTAAAGTTTTAGTAATTTTGTTGTGTTCTTTTATTTATTTTTTTATTATGTCTATATAGACTTTTATTTACTTTTTTTAGTTTTAGTTATTTTAGTACCACAAGTCAAACTAATTTGTGGAATATTTGTAAAATAAAATAAAATAAAATAAAATAAATTGACAAAAAAAAACGTAAATTAAAAAAGATGAAAAATGGAGAAAAACCATGGGGGCCAAAAACAGGATATACATTTTTAATTACACATTCATATACATTTTAATATAGAACCCACTGGCTTCAAAAATGCACTTAAATTAAATATAGTCAAGCTTTTTAATGTATTGTAATGTATTTAAAAGCAGAAATGTGTATTTTTGTTAAAGCACTTACATTAAATGGTCTTTCTTAAGTTTGTGGTTTCATTGCTATAACAGCAAGGTTGAAGATTAATAAGTGATTTTATAATGCTAATAAGCTCATGCTGATATATTTTTTTATATTCTTGCAGCTAGACATCACCCTGTCTACTTCCATTTTAAGTGCCTTACCGTAACAGCAATAATATTTTACGCTAATTGACATCAATGCTATAGTGCATAACGTGTATTGAACCCAGAACATTCCTTTAAAAGAGAAACAAAAAAGCAGCGTATATAAATATATCAATAATGTAATAGTTTTCCTATTATTTGTGAAATGCATCCACAATGCATCCACAGACAACTCTCCCAGAATGCTCTGCAGTAATAATTTGCATATTCTTTGCGTTTTCGTATAGAGAGGTCAATCAAATGAAGTTATAATGCAGTACTGGATGTCGCAGGTATAATATCTGATCATACAAATCCCACAAACACATGTGCATGCATTTGAACAGTGTTTGTGTGTGTGTGTGTGTGTGTGTGTGTGTGTGTGTGTGTGTGTGTGTGTGTGTGTGTGTGTGTTTGAGGATAATGGAGCTGCATGGCTGAGCGGCTGATAGATGGTTCTCCAGCACTGCTAATTAACCCTTGCTCAGACCTTTATTGTCTAACATAAGGCAGACATGGACCTTAACAAAGGGTGCAAATGCAAGCGTGGCCACATGCACACACACAAACACACACCGAGCAGCCTCACGTAATTACAGCTGTATTGATTAATGCGTCTTGTATGTTGAGATAACACTGACCTGACGACACACACTCATTCCCAGGCGAGTTTGTGTTGTATGAGAGTAGAGGGGGCATATTATGAATGTGTGAGTCCACATATGCATGCAGTAGCACAACAACAATAGGCCAAAACCTCACTGCTACCAGTCTCAAACCTCAACATGCATATTTTAAATGCAGAAAAGACTATTTATTTTTATTACAAGTCTGAACAATCCCTAAGCACTGGTGCATAAAACTTTTTAATTTAAAAAAAAATATTTTT